GGGGACAGAGATAAAAATGCTCTAAAGTCTGATAAAATATACTTATACAATGTCCAGTGCAAGTGTCAGAGTTGAGATATATCCAAAATGAGTAGTCTTAATGTAAGGATATTCCCACGCTGTGTGAGGTTTTAAGCTGGTAAAGGGAAACAGATCCTCTTTCACTCTGTGTCTTTATATCTGCTCAGCTACTATGTATCAACCTTCAAGAAAGATACTTAACATAGCGTAAAACAGTTACACATTTATTCCCAAAAAAGACCACCACATAAAAACTCTTACAAGAAATGATGGTGGACACTTATTTCTAAGTTTCACAAAATATGCAGTAGTACAACGGGGTGTACTGGCCATTGGAAGATTTAATGCTCTGTGTATCAGTCCTGTGCACTTGGACCGATTGTGTTGCAGAGATGCTCTTCTGTCCTACTGCATTGGTTCCTGCAAGTTTAAAAAAGTCAATCCCGCCAGTTTCATCAACGCGTTTCGTCCGTTAAAACCAGACTTTTTCAAGATGACTGATCAGGGGGATTTGAGTGGTTTAAATACATCCTTCTATTAACAGTCTGTATAGTGGGTGTGTATCAAAACATATTATTACCACTGCTTCAATCATATTATCATAGCTTCAGTACTATTAGCTTCTATAAAAAACAAAAAAACTTTTTGAACCTTTCGATCATATTTCTAAAAAAAAAATGGATCGTAATCCTTATGAACATGATGTCAAATGACTGTCATATTGTGAATTACAGAGAATTAGCACTCTTGTTCTAAAGCACAATCATAAATATGTATGAGGATTAACCCTCCTTACACCTAACACAATTGTAGAACCATAAATCAATATTCTCTTCATCTTCAACCATTTAGGCAAGCAAAGACAGATCACTGTCAATATATATTTGTATATTCTACAATAGTTTAAAAAAATAATAAGCCTATCTTTCTTTCATGAGAACCTATTCATTCAATTCTTATTGTCAAATAAAAATTCAACTTATTGACTAATATTACCAGCTCCATACTACATCGAATCTCTATTCCATAAGGATTTCTCTCCCATGGTATACAGTGACAATTCTCCTTATTAGAAATGCACTCCATACTGCATTTCTTCTATTAAAATCCTCAATACATGAATGTGAAACTGAGCGATATTCCTCGTTGTACATATAGATGCTCACTCTATACATACTAATTGATGAATGATTTTCTATAAAGTATTAAGCAGTTTGTTCAGTTTCAATGATAAACTAGTCAGCGTGGTGGGATTTAACCCATTCAACGCTGGTCGAGCGGGTTTCAAACTTTATTATACCATGACCCGCTGATATTCTCAGTTAGTATTATAATAGTGAATGTTATAGAAAATACATAATTAATCTACACGGAATTGTAACCTTATCTTACTATGACTCACTAATGATCTCTGATCGTATACCAATAACGAATATTCCGAAGTATTCCTCATGGATATCGAAGAACGCTAGAAAGAATATTCCAATACATTTAAAAAGAACTAATTATCCCCATAGTGATGTTTAAATTAATTATCCAGGGTTGGCAATGAGGTAGTTTGCGAGAAGAGTTTTAACCTCGGGACGGTATTATAATTTTCTTGTACTGTAACCCATTCGTATATATTAATGGTATGAACATCCCTAGTGGTAAAAACTATAAAAATACATTATATGGTTTAACATACTAAAAAAGGGTATTAAAATACATCTGCAAGATGCTTGTAGTTTTCTTAAAAAAGATCCTATTTGTAACAAACATCTAAAAAATGTAGATATAAAAAAATATATATAATAAATACGTCTATTGAAATTAATGTTAATACGTAAAAATAGTCCATAAATTGACTCATAAAATATTGGAAATATCATATTCAGCTTTTAGACCTAATGGAGCCAATGTTTTTAAATTGTATATCCAATATGTTTCCTTATATAATAAACTTTTGATTAAGTCACCCCCCCCCTCCAGGGGACTTTTATATGTTGTATCCCACAATAGTTCAATGAGGATGGATCACTATCATGATGCGTTTTGAAATGATAGGACAAGGAGTGTTTTTCAAACTTTCTATTAATATTATAAACATGTTCGCCCAATCTCGTTTTCAAACTTCTTTTTGTCTGTCCTACATATTGAAGCCCGCATGTACAGTTTAGGAGATAAATGATTTGCTTAGAGTTGCATGTGATACAGTCCTTAATTTTATACTTCTTAGTTGTATTAGAGTAGAGTTCCATAGTTCTTCCAAACGGTGGACCAACCGTCTTGCAAATCTTGCAGGTTCCACACTTAAAAAAACCCATATGTGTATTTAAAAAGTGCTTCTCGGGTGAGGGTCTAATGTAGCTGTGAACTAATTTATCCTTAAGAGTGGGTGCTCCTCTGAAGATGATTTTCGGTTTGGAGGGTAGAATTGATGACAACACTGGATCCTGTAACAATAGATCCCAATTTTTTTACGGCTTTTCTAATATAACTTGTTTGGGCACTAAAATTAAAAATGAGTGGGCATGTATCATTAGGTACATTTTCATTGTTGTTCCTATTGCTTCTAGGAGCTAAAATTTCTGCCCTGGATTCGCAGTATTAGCCACAAGTCCAGACTCTAGACTTAATCGTAAAGAATACAAGGAAAACATTTATCATGATGAAGATTATTTTAGGCCCAAGAACCAATTTTTTGAACCGTCATATCACGAATATCAACCATACAGAAAAAAAGAAAAGGCCTTTTTTAGGGGACGCAGAGGAGGAAAGAGTCCAAGAAAAAAAACAAGACGGTAGATTCTACACGGATTTTTAATTTATCTGACCTAGTACTTACTATTGACCACATTAAGGTACTCAGTAGGGGTTTGAAGTATGCTCCCACCACAAAATCAAATCCCTTTCACAATTTTTTAGATATTCAAAAATTTATGAGAAAACTTACTCTTAAGCGCTTCTTTTTAAATAATCCTATATCAGATATAAGGGAATCTACAGAGAATGTTTTTCAACACACAGCATTGAAAAATAAGTCTGTGTTTTATCCCACAAATCAAATAAGTGCGCATATGAATGCATCCAATCTAGCTATGATGACGGACCTGGATCAAATATCACAGAAGATTACAAATCATAAATAGAATTTATCAGTACAGGAAAAAAAAAAGCACTAAAGAAATTACAGGATAATAAGATGGTGACTATTAAACCTGTGGATAAGGGGGGTATAGATATTATAAATACGGTAGACGACAAAGAATGTAATAGAATTCTCAATGACATCAACACATACCAGCGATTAACGAAAGATCCAACTTTGGAAGTTAAGAAATCCCTACTTACATTATTAGAAAAAGGAAGGTTTGGGGAAATTTTAACTAAAAAAGAACTGGATTTTGTGACTATCCTACACTCCAAGAGACCAGTCTTTTACTACCTCCTAAAAATACATAAAAGTATAACACAGCCCCCCGGGAGACCCATAATTGCAGGCATAGATTCTCTGACAGCAAATTTATCACAATGCATAGATGTTCTACTGAAACCCTTTGTTAAGACTACAAAGTCATACCTTAAAGACAGTAGTGATCTTTTACGGACACTACAAGGTATAACATGGGGGAAGCAATTTAGGTTGGTCACATGTGATGTCACCTCACTTTATACCATAATAGAACACAATCTAGGAATTAAGGTGGTAAGGAGTACTTTATATAATAGTGAAAACCTTAGAATGGAACAAATAGAGTTTTTAATAGAATGTATTGAGTTTATACTTAAAAATATTTTTTGGGGTACAAAAACGAGATCTTCCTACAGATCAACGGCACAGCGATGGGGACTAGGTTTGCACCCAGCTATGCCAATATATTTATGTCCTATTGGGAACAGCAGTTCATTTGCCAAGGACATCGCTGGGTAGCAATCCTAGTCTTCTATAAACGCTACATCGTTGACTGTTTTATGATTTGGGATGGTACTGAAGCAGAACTCTTGGAATTTTTATGCTATATGAATTCAAATAATTTCAACTTGTTGTTCACGAATAATCAGAGCATCACGAGCGTAGAATTTTTAGATCTAGTCCTCTATATTGAAGAAGGAATTCTAAAATCCAAAACCTTTTTGAAGCCAGAGGACGTGAATAGCTTCATTTTAACATCAAGTTGCCACTATCCTTCATGGCTACAGAACGTCCTATGTAGTCCGTTTTTGAGGATTTAAAAAAAACTGCTCAGAGGAGACTGTCAGGAACAATTGAATAAGATAGAATTACAATTCTTAGAGAAAGAATATGATCCCTCACGACTCTTGACCGTAAGGAAAAAAGTGTCCGACATTACCAGGGCAGACATTTTAGCTCCTAGAAGCAATAGGAACAATTAAAATGTACCTAATGATACATGCTGTAGCGGAGAGCTGGTCTTTCACAGGTTAACTCCACTAAAGATCCCAGTAAGGCTCAGGAACAAGTTATAAAATACCATAGGATAATAATCACAGCAAGCAAGGTAATCCACGAATATCCCAATACGGATCCCAATGACTGGACGACACACAGCATCAGGAGCAGAACTGACTTTTAATGCACACAACTTCCTTATAAAGCATTCTCCCATGCAAGGGAGGGATTTGCAATAATTAGTACAGTAGTCCTCCACAAGTTGCCACCCACACATCCCCTCCCCTTAGTGTGACACAAATTTCCAGAGTTTCTGGATGTACCCCTAAACGTAGGGGTACCCCTTTAAATGTTACATCCCCTGGTAGCCCTGATCTGGGTGAGACAAAAAAAATCACCCAGATCGGACCAGGGGTTTGTGAAATTTATGGAAGTACTAAAATGACCGACCGCGCTGAGTTTATCAACCAAAAAGGGCTCCATGCATTTTGGCCCTGCGGTCGGTCACACAAAAGGGAATATTACACACAAATGACTTGTTTTAGGAGAGCTGGGGAGGTTTTGTGTAGTTTACCTTGTTCGTGGGATTCAAACTACCGAACGAGAAACCGTTCGGTAGTTTGCATACGAATTGGCTGCAGTGTGGAGGTCTCTGCGGTGTTTGCCTAACCGAGTGTCCAATTTGGGTTCCAGACACTCGATGGCAAAACACCTCTGTTCGGAGTTTTAAAATGGCCGCCACCACGTGTTCGTCTCCCGAATGGCAGCCACCCAGACAACAAAGAACCCACTACATGAACTGCCAATTACCCGTTTGCAACAGTGTTGCGAACAGTAATTGGAGGCACACTTATTACTGGGGTGGTCTGATTGTTCGGTAGTTTCATTCGCATAATACTGGAGTGATTCTACCGAACAATCAGACAAATGCTACAGATTACAATTTAGCCAAATACATAGGCATAAATGCACTTTTTAGGACAGCCCATCCGCTACATTGCTCCCCCTTGCCCACAAGCCGACATAGACAGTCTGATCCCACACGGATCGGCTTGGGGATGTCCAGGGTGCTCACGGATCATTTCTCCAAGTCTGTTTGTCTATACAACCCGTTAGCATTTCCGTTTTGCTTGCCTGGGCGATACTGTATGTTAAAGTCAAAGGGCTGCAGCCCCAAACTCCAGTGCAGCAGCCTGGCATGGTCTCCAACCTGGTTCAGCCATACTAACGGGTTGTGATCTGTGAGCAAAGAAAAGTCCATACAAATACGGCTGCAACTTCTTTAGGGCCCACACCACAGCCAGGCATTCCTTCTCAATGGCGGTGTAGCTTACTTCTCGGGGTAGTAACTTGCGACTGATGTAAGCCACGGGATGTTCTCCGCCAGCGGCCCCGACTTGGCTCAGCACTGCCCCCAATCCAAACATAGAAGCGTCTGTGTGAACAAGAAAGCGTTTAGTTGAATTGGGAGCTGCCAAGACAGGGGCATTGCTAAGTGCATTTTTCAGATGTTGGAATGTCTGCTCACACTCCAGGGTCCAGGTTACTTGGCAGGGAAGGTTATCATGGGTCAGGTCAGTAAGGGGTTTGGCCAGGGCGCTATAATTGGGGACAAACTAACTATAGTATCCCGCTGTCCCTAGAAATGCTAGCACCTGAGTCTTCGTCCTAGGAGTGTGCTACGGCCTCTACTTTGGCTGGTTCTGGTTTCTGCTTTCCACAGCCCACTCGATGTCCCAGGTATTGTACCTCGGCCATACTGCATTTGGCCGGTTTCAATGTTAGACCGGCCTCCCTAATCCTGTTTAGAACCGCTCCTATATGGGCTAAGTGCTCCTGCCAGGTATTGCTAAAAATGGCAATATCGTCTAGATATGCACAGGTGTAGTCTTGGAACCCATCTAGGAGTCGGTCCACCATCCGCTGGAAGGTAGCCGGAGCGTTTTTCATCCCAAACGGCATGACCTTAAAGTGGTACAGGCCGAATGGGGTGAAAAAGGTTTACTTAGGGATGGCATCTGGAGCCAAGGGAATCTGCCAATACCCCTTACACAGATTAATAGTTTCGGCGTGTATATTTGTCAGGGCCACCGCCTCTGGGTATCGGGTGGCGTAATCCACAACAGTTAAAATATATTTCTTGCCCGACGGGCTAGGTTTACGAAGGGGGCCTATGATATCTACCACTATTCTGTGAAATGGTTCCTCAATTATAGGTAGCGGATGCAACTTTGCCTTCCGCCGGTCTCCCCTCTTCCTTACCCTCTGGCACGTATTGCATGTACTGCAATATTTGCGTACCTCCTGGCTAACTCCTGGCCAAAAGAAACTCTGGATCAGTCGATATCTGGTACAACTGACCCCCAAATGCCCGGATAGGGAATATCGTGAGCTATCCGGAGCAATTCAGCTCGGTACCTCTGGAGTACGACTAACTGCCTTAAAACAATCGGGTCTGACTCAGCTACCTGCTTATCTGACTCCCTGTATAACAGCTGCCCATCCCATACAAATCTTTCCCACTCCGCCCCAGTTTGGTCAGAGGTGACTTTATCTCTACATACCTGTAGGGTAGGGTCAGTGATCACCTCTGCCGCAAATTCATTAGGAGGGGCCCAGGGTACACAGTCTAGGGAAGGGGAAGGCTCTCTTACCTGAACCTCCGGCAGTGTGTTGTAGTCCTGGGTGCGGGCCTGTTGCCTGGTGACCACTGGATGTGCAAATATTGCAGTGATACTGGCAATACAAATGCTGGTATTTTTCTCAGTATAAACAAGAGATTACTATGTAAAGCCAGCACTGGCCAGTAGAGGTTGCTGTGTGTGGAGACAGACAGGGATAGGAAGTTCCAGCATATCCCTCCCTTCCTATCTATACTCACTGATCTGCAGGGGTGCATCTACAGAGAGTCCAGACAGCAACTCCCACCCTGCAGAGACAGCCTACAGCTCAGGGAAGTGAGGGATGGGGGAAAGGCTGCAAGGAGACATACACTGAGACACTAAGGGACCCTGGGAGACATTATGGCAGACACTGGGACACTAAGGGACATTGGGAGACATTATGGCAGACACTAAGACACTAAGGGACACTGGGAGACATTATGGCAGACACTGGGACACTAAGGGGCATTGGGAGACATTATGGCAGACACTGGAACACATTATGGCAGACACTGAGCCACTAAGGGGCACTGGAAGACATTATGGCAGACACTGAGACACTAAGGGATATTGGGAGACATTATGACAGACACCGAGACACTAAGGGGCACTGGGAGACATTATGGCAGACACTGGAGACTAAGGGACATTGGGAGACATTATGGCAGACACTGGGACACTAAGGGACATTGGGAGACATTATGGCAGACACTGGGACACTAAGGGACATTGGGAGACATTATGGCAGACACTGGCAGACACTGGGACACTAAGGGACATTGGTAGACATTATGGCAGACACAGACACTAAGGGACATTGGGAGACATTATGACACAGACACATGGGGACACAGTGTCCCCATGTCTCCCAGCCAGTGTCCCTGGTGTCTCAGTGACCCCTAGTCTCCCAGTGACCCCAGTCTGCCAGTGTCTCACTGTCCCCATGTCTCCTAGTGCTTCTATGTAAGTGCCTCAAGTGTCACAATGTCCCCCAGCCAGTGTCTCTAGTGTCTTTGTCCCTGGTGTCTGTGTCCCCATGTCTGCAAGTGTCCCCTATTTTCCCATTGTCCCCATGTGTCCCAGCCATAGTCCCGTAGTCTCCCAGTGTCACTGGTGTCTCCACGTGTCCCCAGGTCTCCCCGTCTTCCTAGTGTCCTAGTGACATAGGGACCCTGGGATATATGGGGACACAGGGAGACATGGGGCATTGAGACACTGATACATAGGATCATTGGGAGACCTGGGGACACAACACTAGGGGACACATGGGGCACTGAGACACTGATACATAGGAACACTGAGACCTGGAGTAATCGACACATGGGGGCACTGAGTCACGAGGGCACTGGGAGGAATCCATCTATACAGCAGATTTAAACTAAGTAGTTTTTTGGTGATTTTACAGCATTTTCTCTTATGTCACTCCTTGTGATTTACCTCATATGATGTCACCCACACATATTTAATTATGCAAATTAGTAAGGCAAATTAGTAAGGCTGGTATGTTTTTCCAAGAAAGGTGGCAACCCTAACTACTTTTCATATAATCTTACTTAAGTATGGAAACGTACGAGGGATGTATGGGAACAAAACTTGTGTGGACTGGCTGACAATGAATATAGTTAAAGCGACACTATAGTCACCATAACAACTACAGCTTATTGAATTTGTTCTGGTGAGTAGAATCATTACCGTCAGGCTTTTTGCTGTAAACACTGTCTATTCAGGGAAAGTGCAGTATAAGTATAAGTGCAGTATACTATATATATCAATACTGATCACACAGGAGATCTAAGCTTCCAACCTAGTCACAACAAAAGTATTTTGAAACACTCAGATAAGGCAGTCTCATTTATAGACATACCGATTTCCACAGATGTCAATAATTCCCAAACCACTACTACCATGCTGTCAAATCCTTTTTTAGAACAGGACCAACCTCGCCAACAAAGGGGTCGATTGAGAGACAGGGATCGGTGGGCTTACATGAATCAGAGTCGTACTTAGAGGTTACAGTTTCTAACAAGATAATTAATCTGTCCAATTTCCATCTATCTATTCATAGAAACATAGAAACATAGAATGTGACGGCAGATAAGAACCATTCGGCCCATCTAGTCTGCCCAATTTTCTAAATACTTTCATTAGTCCCTGGCCTTATCTTATAGTTAGGATAGCCTTATGCCTATCCCACGCATGCTTAAACTCCTTTACTGTGTTAACCTCTACCACTTCAGCTGGAAGGCTATTCCATGCATCCACCACCCTCTCAGTAAAGTAATACTTCCTGATATTATTTTTAAAGCTTTGTCCCTCTAATTTAAGACTATGTCCTCTTGTTGTGGTAGTTTTTCTTCTTTTAAATATAATTCATCACACTACCTTGTTAAATAGGGGTTTATCATTTGTACCAACTCCTTCCTGCAATAAATTTAACTGGTCTAAGGATGTCAACCTCTTTGGCAGGAAATTGGCTCTCAATATTATGCATGCCAAGAAGGACTAAACTTCGGCCAATGAATTAGGATTATCTATAAAGGATTATGAACTCTCCAAAACTTTGGACAGCCTTTTGGATGAAAATGACCCCTATAGACCTCTGACAGACTATAAACCTCCAAGTTATTTTACCCCAAATTTTATTGACACTCCCCATGTCGATCTTTTTGTACAAATGTCACTTAAAGAATTGGAAAACATGGATAATCAGACCCCATATCCCAGTAACTTAAGTTTTCATGAACGTAAAGCTTTAAAAGAACTACAACAACATTCTGATGTCATAATAAAACCTGCGGATAAAAGGGGTAATATTGTTCAGATGAACCGCCCTGAATACATAGATATGTGCATTTCACATCTCGATGATAAAATGCACTACAGGACTCTCCCTTCAGATCCAACTACCCACTTTGTAGGCAAATTGGTTACTCTACTTAATGACGCTTTAGATTAACAGGTGATATGTAAGGATGAATTTAGATTTTTATTACCACATAAAAATCCTACTATCGCCACATTTTATTGTTTGCCAAAGGTACATAAGGGCATTAGACCCCCTCCTGGTAGACCCATGGTGTCTGGGAACAATTGCCTTACAGAATCTTTGAACAAATTCATTGACAAAATCCTGCATCCTATGGTACTGTCATTACCATCTTATCTTCGGGACACCAAGTCTACTCTTTTAACTTTACAGAATATGACAGTTCCACCGTATACACAACTGGCAAGTTTGAACGTGGTATCGCTATACACAAACATCCCCCACGAAATGGGGTTGAGGGCATGCAAATTTTTCTTAGATAATACATCATATAATGCCCAACAGAAAAACTTTATTTTGGCCCTCTTGAAGTTCATTTTAACACACAACTACTTTACATTCAATGGATGTTACTATCTACAGATTTCCTGTACTGCCATGGGGACAGCTTGTGCACCCACCTATGCTAATCTATTTTTGGGGTGGTGGGAGCAACATGTCGTCATGGCTGCCTAAAATGCATCCAAACATTCAGTGTCTCCTTCCTCTGCATGCAGACACTGAACTTTACTCATAGAGATGAATTAATTACAGGTACTGCAGATATAGCCACTTTCAGGAATACATCTTAAGTTGGCACAGATATATTGACGACATGTTGCTCTTTTGGACAGGTTCTGTCCAAAACACTAGCCTCCATCTTTCCAAACCAAAACAAGAGCTAAAGGCCCCACGATGTTTTGCGACATTTGATCAGAGCTGGGGGCCCATGTCGCAAATTCTCAAGAAAAATTGCCCAATACTTTTACATAACCCTGAACTTCAACATGTTACCAGAGTTTCCACCTCTAACAGCACGAATACCAACTAACTTACAAGATCAACTTGTTCATAGCTATCTGGCGTCTCCTTCACCATCAACTAATTAGCTATCCAATACTAAGGGAACTTACAGATGTGGACACTTTAAGGCTTGCCAATACATCTTCCCCTCTAAGTTCACCACGTCCACTCAGACGCAGATTCGGATTGAGACCAACGCTTTGGTTAACTGCAACTCTACACGAGTGATCTATCTGATCACATGTAGTTGTGGAACTCAATACACTGGAAAAACTTTTCAGCAGTTCAGACGCAGGATTTTGCAACATGTAACATCTGTCAACAACACGGTCACCCCTACTCCGGTTGCAAGACACATTCTCAACTTCCATAATGGTAATCACAACAATTTGAGATTCCAGGTAATTGAGAAATTGCTACCGAATCCAAGGAAAGGAGACTTTAATAAGATTTTGCTCAGCAAAGAATCACAATGGATATTCTCGTTTAAGACCTTGGCCCCCTCAGGTCTTAACAAGGAATTTAACTATACATCTTTCATACATTAATCATGTGAATTACCAATTGACAATTGGTTTATAACTTTGCGAGGATCTGATCTGTATGTATACTTTTATCTTAATTATGCATTATAAGTTGATTACCACTATTATCATGTATGACTACCTCTCTCTTTCTAATTGCCACTAGTTGTTTTATATTTCTTTTCTATGCATACTGTCATGTCAGCTTCAAATGATAGGAGTTATGACATCACAGCATATTACCGTGAAATTATAGTTTTGATCCCATCGGGATACTTTCTGTTGATGTCTTTTGGATTTACTTAGCCTACCCCTTTAATTAGTTTGTTATAAATTTTCTGCTAATATGATCGCAGGATGTTACTTTGAATGTGGCTATACAATTTTTCAACTTTTCAACTTTTGAAATAATGATGGGGAATTGCTGTTTTTCCCTCATCTCTTTATACCTACCAAAATACTATATCAAGTGTGGATTACATATATATCTTGAATATATCGTTGGTAATTATATATTAAAACTCTTTGGTTAATTTGATATTATTGATTTGGACCATTCCAGCCACCGTACTAGCTTTCATCCCTCGAGCCGAAATTTGACCAATCAGATCTGAGGGCGGGCTTTTTAAACCCCTGCATATCGGGAAATCAGTTCCCCCTGATGAGCCTTGTAGCTAGGCGAAACACGCGTTGGGGCGCGATAATCATACATTATTGTGATCATTAGGCTTCTTGTGTCCCCAGCAACCCTCTTTCTTTCCCTTCCCATGAGAACGGACATACACTCTTGGATCTTGATTTACTATTTGGGATTTTGAGGGGCTGTGATAGTTTGGGACACTAGCCTTACATATAGATCGGATCAATCAGGATATTACCATGAATTAGTGTCCTTTAACCTGCAGTATTTCTCTACCATAGTTTCAGCGGGTTACTCACTATCATCAGCAATTTTATCTCTTCACTATCTTTCCTATTTTTGGTGCCCTCGAAGGCACCATTCTGATCTACTTTTACTTGGTGTATAATCTATTGCGGATATTTAGCTATTTCATCGAGATTATTAGGTAGATTCGTGATATTGTTACCTTCTAATCTTTTTTCTTTCTGTTTTGATTAGTTTATCTACTTATCACTTTCCTAACACTAATTCAATATGCTGATGTGACGTATACCTAATAAGACTAGCATATATCTATAGACTAGAACGTTTAGAAATAACATACCGCATTGGTTTATTCACTACCTATTTTTAGATAGAGTTTATAGTGGGTGATTCCTCTATGGCCAAAGGCATTTAGTCTTCACAGTGTATCCCTTGCCTTGAATACATTGATATTATTATATCAAACGGGAGCAATTAACTCTCTCTAGCAGGTTCACTTGCATTGTATCTCATTGGCAACATACAGATACTTATATATTTAGTTTCAATTCATACCAATTGCAACAGATTCTCCTGCAGTTATATTGCATTGATACTCTATCACATTTTTCTGACATAGAGGAATTATTAGACTGAATGAATTGTCAGCTTTACCTAGGGGATAATTATGCATTGCATATATCCCCTGACTGATAGATATTATTATTTACTCATTGTATAAACTCTTTCTATTACTCTATCGATTTATATTTATTTTCATTTTTTCTTTATTATTTTTTATCCCTTTGTATGCTCTGTGTTTTGACTGCCGTAATTGACTTGTGTTTAGTCAGGCAGCCATTGCCGGGGTTTTTTTTTCAGATTCATGTTTTCTATTTTTCAATAAAGTATCTTCTAGATTTTTAACTGCTTGTGTGTATCTGATATCGGTAGTAGGAACAGACTCCTCTTTCTCTTTAACAGCATGCAGAGTTACAGCTTCAGGCTTGAATATAGTAAGATTTTGCTATATTTATGGAGGCATGAGGGGCCCAGGGGGGCTAGATGGTGGTGTTAACACTGTAGGGTCATGAATTCATGTTTGTGTTCCTGACCCTATAGTGATCCTTTAAGGTAATGCTGACTTTGGTCTCTCTAACACTGTGGCATGTTCCCTTTCTTCTACACTCACTACATACAGCTTTTCTCTGTCCCAGACCAAATTTAACAGGAGCTGCTAGTAAGAAGGTAAGGAGACAAGAGGACCAGCGAGTGCTAGGGGACAGTCCTTAGAAAGCGTTGAGTGAGCGCATCATTAGATGCATTTATGCCAAGCTCAGGGTGCTGTCTGCATAGTATGCCCTTAGTTGGCCAGCTGCATGATTGACAGGCAGCCTGACATGCATTCATGCCAGCCTGGCCTTCTAATTCTTTGAGCAGACATGTCCTCTTTTTGGGCATGTTCGCCCCTTTTGGCAGGTTATGTGATTTGTGTCAGTGGCACACCCTTTTACCATACCCATTGACTTCTTGCTTAACTGGACACTGCTGTTAAGGATTATGGATTTACTTGAAAGATGAAAACATAAATTAGAGAGAGAGTAGCCTAGGGTATGTGTTTTCTTATAGCTGCTGTTTTCTTTCTCTCCAGCACCATCTCCATCAGATACATGATGCTTGGGAGTGTTTTACTGTTTTTGGTCGATATGATTCTGTAATTAGGCCCGTCATAATTGTCAGCACCAGACCCACTGGGCTCTTAATCTGGCCCTGGTTAGCACACAACATGAAATACATTACAGACCAAATACAACCTCCCAAGCCGCATGCTGTTCCCCTACCTACAAATTAAATCATGCTTGACAAACACACAACCAACTACCCATAGCATCAAACCACAACAAATGTTATCCACATTTGAAAAATTTTGCACAAACGCAGCACCCCTGAAAAAGGTGATATCGGTATGTTACCGACAACTGACCTCGAACCAGAATAAGTAAAAAAAATAATTATAAACTGGCGTGGCACAAAGAGCTAGATTGCACCTTAGACGAAGATCAGTGTCTGAAAGCGTACGCCTCACACAAAGGTATCACTTCCTGCACGAACCAGAGAAAAATACAATACCGTTGGTACATTGTACAGAACAGAATACACAAAATCTTGCTCCAATCTTCCACAAACCAGTGCTGGAGGTGTAACACACAGTTGGGGACAATGTTACATACCAATGTTACATACATGCACCGCCTTA